CCGCCGCTGGTGGTGAGGTGGTCCGCCACCTGGTACGTCGACGGGTTGACCATGTGCTCCAGCCAGAAGTGATAGACCTTCTCGGCGAAGGCGCTGTAGCTGCGGTCCGTGGGGAAGTGGCTGTGGAGCATGAGCGAGAGGATGACCGGCCCCGCGTTCGAGGCCGTCGCCTTCTGCGTGTGCTGCTTGTCCCACCAGTTGCCGCCTGCAGCAATCAACCGTTCACTGTTACAATGCGACGCGCTCAACACGCACGACACGCACGACACGCACGACACGCACACGCCGCACACACCTGGGATGTTGCCGCAGCAGGAGGTGTCCCAGGCGCCGGTGATGTCCTTCCACAGGAAGACGGCTTTGTCGAGGAAGCGGCGGTCGTGCGTCACTTCGTAGGCCCGCACCAGCGCCATCCCCATCCAGTTCTCATCGTCGTAATAGGAGCGCAGCCACCCTGCCGCCCCCGCCATCATCCACCGCACACATTCAATCGACGCACGCACACAACCGCACACGCACGCACACAACACACACACACACACACATACACACAGGTACCGATCTTGTCTTGGGTCTCGTAGAAGGCGTCGAGGAGGCTCCGGTAGTACTGATCGGTCGGGTAGAGCCGCACGGCGTCGATGAGCGTGTCGAACCCCTGCGCGGCCGTCCAGTACTGCGTAGCTTGGCCTGCGCTTCCGCTCCAACCATTTATTGATAGGAAAAGGGCAGGACCAGGGGAAGAGCGAAAACGAAGCCAAAGAGCGAAGCGAGTGTTTGGGGGGGGGAAGGGGCTGAGGGAGCGGACCGTTGGAAGGGTACTGGTTGAGGAGGTAGCGATCGCTGGTGCTCCAGTAGTGCTTCACAAAGGAGGCAAACGCGGCTTTCGCCCAGCCGGGCTCGAATGAGACTTCAGCCGCGCTGATGGCAACCAGTGCGCCCAGGCAAAACGCCAACAGCAGGAACGACGTGCACTTCTTCATGCTGGTGCGAACAATACAAATATCTTAAGATATATTTTTTGCTTTTATGGGATGGACCACCAAAACAACAGCGCAAGGAGTGTCTGCGCAAGGACAAGTCGGCTCCGACAGGACCGGGGCGCCATGGCGCAGTCGGCACCGCGCTCCCCTAGTAAGGGAGAGATCATGGGTTCGATTCCCATTGGCGCCAGTCCACTTCTATTTTGCTTCTCTTTTGGTCGTCTTGCCTGTGCTTTGATGCGCAGGAAACACACCTTCGTCGCCACACTTGGCTTGCAACCGATGGAGGCAACGGACGGGAAGTTGCAGGGTATATAGGATATTGGTCGGTAGATATTGAGTTTGCGCCAATCGGGATAGGATAGGCAACTGTTGGCCAATCGCGTGCCCTGGTTGCAACGGGAAACACTTCCTGGTTGGCCGAAACTGTGCGTTGTAGACTCAACAACAAGCAGCCAAAAGCGGCATCGACGATGGTTAAAAGGGGGCCTTCGGTTGTTTTTACTTTCAAACCAAACCACCACCAACTCCTCTGTACATCACAACCCACACCCCAACTACTTCCTTGTATACCATCAACATGAACCGCTCCATCTTCTTTGCCGTTCTCCTGCTGGCCTTCGTCGCCTTGGCCTCCGCCACCACCTCCACCAGCGGCGGTTCGCCCGCGGAGCAGATCGCCAACGCCCTGCCGGCCAACTACGGCCAGCTCAAGGCCCAGGTGGCCGCCCTCCAGGCCAACCTCACGGCCCAGATCGCCGCCGTCCAGTCGTCCCTGGCTGCCGTGGCCGCCAACGTCAAGTACATCAAGTCCCTCGAGCAGCTGGGCAACCTGCCCGAGGCCTCCACCTGCACCACGCTCGATTGCGTGCGCACCCCGATCAACCAGCTCGACGAGCTCATCATGCAGCTCTACGCCACGCGCCTCTCGTTCGCGGTGCAGGCCGGCTTCATCAAGTACCAGGCCGGCCAGGACGTGCTCGACCCGAGCCGCGAGTCCGTGGTGCTGGCCAACGCCGCTGCCAACGCCGTGGCCAACGGCCTCCCGTCCTACGTGGGCTCGGTGCTCTACGGCAACTACTGCATGCTCTACGTCTCCAAGCGCCTCGAGGTGGAGGTCCTCAACGAGGCCTACAACGCCGGTCTGCCCATGCCCGTCCAGCACGCCGACTAAGTCTCGCACACAACTTGTCCACATCGGACATTAAATGTAATTACATCACAACTGCCCGCAACCAACGGTCAATTAATAACTGCCTGGCCTGCGATCCAATGGTATGGGGGTCGGAATCCCTTGGTTGCATACCAAAAATCTGGATCATCACCGTTGGTTGTGATCACAGGAATTTGGTGAAAGAAATGTCTTACATTCTAAGTAACATGTTGCAGAATATCTACAATCTGATTGGAGGTGGCCTTCGCCGACTATTGGCAGCTGAGGGAGCTCAGGGTGGTGCTGGGCTTGGCGGCGGGCGAGGAGCCGGAAACACGCACGATGATGCCCGAGCCCTGGATGGCGCCGACCTGCAGCGGGCCGTAGTTGAACGCCACGTTGAAGGCATTGGTCGAGCCCTGCCTGTTCAGCTCCCAGAACTGGGTGATCGTCGCGCTGGCCTCGGCGAAGGCGAAGGTGAGCACGCCGCCGTTGATCGGGCGCTGGCCGCTGTTGGCCAGGTTGACGTCGAAGATCTGGAACGTGTTGCCGTTGTCGGTCCACACGCCGCCGGCCGCGGCCGAGCGCGCGGTGATCGTCACCACCGCACCGCAGCCGTTGGTCGGGCTCGGCTGAGGCGTGGCCACGATCGTGGGGGCCGCCGAGGGCGAGGCCGAAGGGGCCGCGGGCGAAGCGCTAGGGCTGGGGCTGGCGGGCGCGGCCGACGGGTTGGCGGTGGGCGACCCGGTACAGGTCACAGAGTCGATGGCGATGGCGGGCGCGGCGGGCTGGCCGGCCGCGAGCGGCGAGCGGAGGACGTAGCCGGCGCCGAGGGTCGCGCCGACCTGAAGAGGGCCGTAGGTGTTGGGCACAACGTAGGTCGAGGCCGTGCCGCTCTTGAGCTCGATGTTCCACGACTGGGTGATGGCCTGGCCGGTGGCGAGGGCAATGGTGAGCTGGGCGGCCGTCACGGGGCTGTTGCCGTTGTTGACGATCGCCAGGTCGTACAGCTGGAAGCGGTAGGCGCCGTCGGTCCAGCTGCCGCCCGCGTTGGCCGAGCGCGCGGTCTGGGTCACACTCACGCTGCAGCCCGACGGCGGGCTTGGCTGGGGTGAGGCGACGATAGACGGCACGGCCGAGGGCGAGGCCGACGGCGCGGGGGGCGAGGCGCTGGGGCTGGCGGGCGCGGCCGAGGGCGAGGCCGACGGGGCGGTGGTGCCGCAGTTGATGGAGGCGACGGTGATGGTGGCCTGGGCTGCCGACTCCCAGATGTAGCCGAACTGGTGAACCTGGCCGGCGACGATGCCGCCGCTCTGCAGACGGTAGTCGGGCAGGGCGAAGAGGCCGTTGGGCTGGCGGGTGAGCTCCCAGACCTGGGTGAGGGCGGCGCCGGTGATGGAGAGCTCGAGGGACTTGACCGTCTCGGAGCCGGCCGTGAGCTGGACGTTCCACTGCGACATGTCCTTACCGTCCTGCTTCCACGAGCTGCCCAGGGTCTGCTTGATGCTGACGCTGCAATCTACAAGAAGAAGCAAAAGATGGTGTCAGCCAGTGTTGATGTTGAGGTTGAGGTTGATTTTGAGATATTGCAAGGTAAGTACCGGCGGTTGCATAGCAGAAGAGTGCGAACAAGGCGAGTAGAATGAAACGCTTCATCGCTGAGGTGTTGATGGAGCTGTTGTTGTTTGTTATGTGGTTGAGTGATGATTTGAGGTGGGTCTGCTGGCGTGGGCTTTATAGTGGAGGTCGGCCGGCTGTAGCGGGCAGAGACGACCATGTCGTGCCCTGAAAACTCCACGAGCGCCAACATCTTCTGCACATACCTGAGTATGGACGCAGCATAGCCTTGAGCCAGTTGGCGCAGACCGGGCGGCGGAGTAGAACGCCAGCGGAGAGATCCCTGCAACGGACCAGCACTGGGCCACTTCTTTTATTGGGGCGCTGTGGTTCGTCGGAAAAACCGGAGGAATGAGACACCACAGTACGCCACAACATTCAACATTCTGTAGCCTCTTGGTAACTACCACGGCGCATCAAAATGAAATGTTTGGCCAACAGCAAGATGTTGTGGTAACCGTCTCTATTGCGAATGGGCACAACGAAAAGTCTCTGTGCCGCTTAGAACTTGAAGACCTGCTCCTTGATGTAGCCCAGATCCTTCAGCACGCCGTCCAGCTGGTCGAATACAAACAATCGCGTCAGCATCAGTGATGTGTGCGGTGCGTGCGGTGCGTGCGTGAGAAAAAGGGAGACTGGACATACCTCGCCCTGCGAGTAGTCGGGGGCCTTGCTGCCGCTGAGAGCCTTGTAGAAGGGCGGGGGACCGCAGACGTAGACCATGACGTCCTCAGCGGGGCCGGGGATGTGCTTCTTGATGATGTCGGCGTTGATGAAGCCGGTGTGACCCTTCCACGACGCAGCGTCGGCGGGCTGGGCGACGACGTAGTGGACCTCGAGCCTGTTGGGGTGCTTCTTGGCGAGCGCGTCGAGGCGGTCCTTGAGGATAATGTCCTGCTCGGTGTTGTTGGCGAAGACGAGCGACACGTGGGTCTTGTCGTCATCCTCGCTGAGCACCTCCTCGAGCACCTGCAGCATGGGCGTGATGCCTTTTGTCGGTCGGTCGATACAAGTCAGCTCTCACTTCTTCAACATGTTCACGTTGAAGTCAAAGTGTGCGCACGCACCAGTGCCGCCAGCAAGCATGCCGAGGTGCTTCTTCATGTTCTTGGAGTAGGCGAGCTTGGGGATCGGACCCTTGACCTGTTTCCAATAACAACAAAGGAGAAGGAGAAGGAGGTGAGGAAGAGGCCTGACCACACGGGCGAGAAAGATAAAAGAAGGGGGTTGGCGGGCACCTGAAGCTTCTCGCCCTTCTTGAGGTGGTAGATGTGCGAGCTCATCACGCCAGTGGGGTAATCCTTGAGGACGAGGGAGAAACGAACGGCACGGCGTCGGTCAGGCCTGACTGAACTGGAGCGCCGTGCGGTGGAGGGGGAAAGCAAACGAGTGCAAGCTCACGTACCTTGATGACGAAGTCGAAGTAGCCCTTGTCCGACTTGTCGTTAGTAACCGGCGTGTAGGGGCGGATCACCGGCTTGCCATTCTCGCCTGCGGTAAAGGAGAAATGAATCGATTAATGCAGAGGCAGAGATATTGAGCGATTAGGAATCATCGATGTACCGATGTTGGCCTTGGTGACGACGCAGCTAGCTACGGGCAGACCCAGTACGTGATCGCGAGAGGGCAGGGCAAATCGGAGGCGTCGGGTGTTGGGCGTGAGGTCTTCGACCTCAACCAGCTCGAACTCCCTGAACTCGTCCTTGTTGAGCGACACGGGCGGCAAGGGCTTGACCTCAGCCGCCTCGGCCTCCTTCTTACCCTCCTGCGCCACCGCAGCCACGGGGGCGACCTTCTTCCTCTCCTCAAACGGCTCTCCAACGACCTCTTTGTACCAATGGTAGCCGCCTGCCGCGAAGGCAGCAGCGACTACCAGCGTCGTGAGGAAGCCTGAGCCGCTCGATTGCTGGTCATCTTGCTTCTGCTGCTTGTTGTCCTCGCTCGAAGCGAAGCGACGGTGCAGCGGCAGCGACAGAGACGCGGCGGATGAAGACGACGAAGACAGCGTCGTCGACGTGAAGGTCGAAGCGCGCGCAAACGATCGCGTGTTGGTGCTGGCGATTCTTCTCATGGTGCTTGCTACGTTCACGCTAGATGTTGAGGTTGATTTTGTGTTGTGCAACCCTTGCGTCTGCCCTCGCCGTGACGTAGCGTCTCGTCGGCGATAAACTGGACATTTATTCATTTATTATTTTATTTATTATTTTATTTTATTTTATTATTAGATAAATGGAACGATAAATGGCCACAGCTGACGATCAGAAAGAGAGGCGGACGTGAGGGAAGGTGGCCTGCAGATCGGCCAGGACGTCGTGTCGCACGCCGGCACAGGCGCGAAGGTTGATGTCCCGCAGCTGCGGCATGGTCGCCAACATGCCCGCCCAGGCGTCTTCCATGCGACCCCGCACGCGCCGATCGGCTTCATCGTAGCCGTCATCGTCGTTGTCGCCCTGCCGGCCTCCTTCGGACCAGTCGAGCCCATCATCACCATCGTCACGATCGCGGATGGCGTGGGCGCTGAGCAGCTTGGAACCGGAGAGGTCGAGGGCGACGAGGTTGGCGAAGCGCTTGGGGAGCGTTTCGGTGATGGTGTCGCCCTTGACCGACATGCCGGAGAGGTGGAGCGCCCGGAGGTGCGGAAAGGCCAACGCGGCGTCGAGCCACAGCCGCGCGTCGGTGAAGGCGTCCCACTGGCCCAGGCACGGCGGCGCGTAGAGCGTGGTGAGGGAGGTCAGGCTGGAAAGCAGCGACACGAGACCCTGGGCCGTGATGCGAAAGCACCCCGTGAGGTCGAGCACGCGCAGGCCTCGGCGTGCGCTCGATGCGACCACCTCATCAGCGGAATCTGATGAAGAAGAAGACGTCGTGGTCATTGATGCCTGGGCAGGCTGTGCCAGCAGGACCTGCTTGGCTGCCAGCAGCTGGCAGGTCTGGTCGGTGATACGCGCGCAGCCGGAGAGGTAGAGCTCCTCCAGGCTGGGACAGCATTGGAGGACCCACGCGATCGCTTTGTCGCTCACGTGCGAGCAGTAGCTCAGTCGCAACA